TCATTTCGAAAATATCTGTCCAACATAGTTGAAAAATGATTTCGTGCTTCAAACGTTATCGAAGTGAGCTCATTTTTTTATATGATGTACATATGTGAATGTCATAGTCTCTGTTAAAAATTCTTGATTTTTAGTCGACGTTTGCTAGGTCAAACAATTTTTATCTTTCCGCTGGTGGGCTAATGGTATTACTGATTTTCTTCCTAATGTTTTCCAAAATACACTTTTAATACAGAACAACCTCTATCTTCAATCTGCATTCTGATTTGGTGCTTTATTTGTTGTTTTTTTGGTCCATTGTTTCTAATTTTGTTCCTTGAATTTTACGGGTGGGAGTGCAATAGATGAGAAAGGAAAACGGATTACTACTTCAGCTAGCTCACTAAAATATTATGTCATTTATATGTGTGCAGGAGAAAGGAATTGATGCAACTTTCAAGACTTCTCGTGCTAATTGCATTAGTTTACACTCGTCTAGATTGAATGATCTTCTGGTTTGATTGTGAACTTTGTTCACCATTAAATGGCGTCATATCTAATAGGATTTGATGAAGAACTGTGAGCAGCATTGATGGAATTATCATCCGGTGGTTTCTTGATGAACTATCTGCAGCATTACAATCAATGGCTTTTTCAATGATGTCCCACATTACTTGGAGGCAATATTGATCAATAATCATTCGAACATCAATAAATACAATCACATGATGCTTATGAAAAATCTAAAGTGATACTTTCCATTTGTACATAACTTGGAAGACATGGGAATGGCTGCACTAGGTGAAGGCTGCCCGTTTGGTTTCTTGATGAACTTTCTGCAGCATCACCATCAAGGGCTCTTTCAATGATGTCCGGCATTGCATGGAGGCAATATTGATTAATAATCCTTCCAACTTCATGAAATGCAATCAAATGATGCTTATGAAAAAACTGAAGGAATACATTCCATTTGTAGAACCTGGGAGACACGGGAATGGCTACACTAGGTGAATGCTGCCGATATTGAAGGATTCGGTGATATAAAGGTGCCCACAAAAAAGAAGATGTGGGGCTCAGCCATATTTGTTAGGAAGGTGTCCACAAATAAAATATGTGAGGCTCAGCTACATTTGCTAGGAACTGCTCATCACTGGAAACTTATTACTCGTTATTGCCGTGACATTGCAGAAACGGAGTTACAGCCCTAATTACAGGTCTGAAATGAAGAAGGTACTGAGGAGCAAAAGGTTAGCTGGAAGACTAAGATTTGAGCTCTTTTCACTCTGTGTGGGCCTATGAATCATTTAGGGCGGTTCTCTTTGTGTTTCTATTTTGTGTTTTGAGTGTTCATTTTGAAATTGTTGAAAATGTGTTATTTTTAGTATTTTGAAAAATTGTTTTGAAGACACCTAAAATGCGTTTTGAAATTTTTGACTTGGATTATAACTGAAAACACTCAGAATGACAAATTGTTGTTTTGGGTTTTCTTTGTAAATTTTTAACTTGTTTTCAAAAACGCGTTTTCCAAAATAGGAGAAAGAACGCGTTTTCACTGTTTTGGAAAATCGAAAACAGAAAACGGCTTGAAAACGGTAAAGAGAACATACCATTAATATTTTGAATCTAAGAATGTAGAACGTTAGAGATAAATATATTTTAATATATATACTGTTCTCTAAGTTTTTTGGGATTTGGTGTTTGGTAAGTTTCTAAATGTTGACGCACATTTTGGCATTTTTTTTCCATGGTTTTTTTTTACTTGAAATGCCGAATTTGAAATGGCTCATTAGTGCGGATCATATTTGAACTAAGTTTGTAAGTAATTAATGAATATGGTGAGATGGAAACAATCTCAATTCAAATATTTCTATTCTCGCAAGGATGCAGTTGTAGAAAAAATTCAAATATAG